CCTCGACAACCGTTTTGCCGAAAACGGTAAATAGCAAGTGTGATGAGGCCACACTCGGTTTGCCACAAAAGGGCACACATTTTGACCATTGGTATGTAAACAAATGAGAAGTTGTGATAGGGCGGCAGTGGGATAAGAGGGTAAAGAGTAGATAGATAGACAATGATAGAAAGAGGAGGGATAGTGTGACCATTTCCGGCAGAACGGTTGTCGAGGGATTGAGTTCACTTGTCTCTTTGACGAGTTCGTATCTTGGTGCGGAGAGTGGCAAAACTCACTGATGATGCAGACTACGATGATGGCGAAACGTTTGAGAATGTATCAAGTCCACTGTCAGATGCTGGGAATCATGACAACTACTATGGCAGACGAATTCGGACTAGGTGCGTTCTACTAAGTCATCTTGACAACAAGACCAAGTTGCGACAACGAGATCAACCCAATGGACTAGTCGCCATGACAACAGGACCAAGTTGTGATAACGAGGTCAAATATTTCTATAAATCGAAAGGAGACTGCGACCATACCAGAGACCACAACATTTTGGTCTTGATATCTTCAAAATGTTAAAGAGCTGGCTTATTCGCAAAATCATGATAAATCCAATTTACTCCTAAAATAAAGATTCAACTCAAACGCTGTTGGCTATTTCACCACTTTATTGGCCACATGGGTTTTGCACAATAGGCATGCTTACCTCAAATCTGTCCCAGTCACACTTCCGTCCTCCCGACTGGCACCCATTTTGCAGGTTCCTGCCAAATGATATGTCGAAAGTGTGGCCGATTGTATCAAGCACCGAAGAGCCTCTCGCCAGACCGATACATCCTCGGCGGCTTCACTTCCCCGAACTGGGATCTCAGGGCAATCTGAAATCAGATCATATACAGAAGTGTGGAGCCTCAAGAATCGGCATAGAGACATTTGCTGTGTTCAAGTGTTAGCCTATAGTTGCTAAAGTTCGATTTAATAACTATCCTTTAATTAAACAGAAGAGGGAGGATTTAGAAGCAGTACCAGGCGGATGTTGGGCTAAGCGATAATTAGGTTACATCAACAATCAGACTTGCCTTGTGAAC